CCATGCTGCAGCTCCCAGCTGCCATGGTTGAGTCAGTCTAACAGGGCTCCATTTAGAACTTGCCAGCACTGCTGTCTTAAAGCAATGGGCCGAGTGCACTGGGGGAGGGAGACCAAGCTTCTGCCTCTCTCAGAGCTGAGCAATGAACAGCAAAGGGTTGATTAAAGCACAAACCCAGACACAACCTGCAGATTGAAGTGCAAAGCACCTGCAGTTCTTCATTTGTGCTGATCACAAAGACCATCTCTTGCTCTAATGAGATTACCACCCTTCTCACCAGGCCTAAAATACACTGGGTTGCAAGCTGCATGCCCTCTAGGCATAGAAAATCTTTCTTCTTTAATGGATTAAATATATTTTACCTAGAGTTCCTGGTGGGACATATTTAATAGACAGATTCATCACTCCTCGATGATCCACACCGTTACTGGCAGAAAGGCTCTGAAAAAGAAAGAGACAGGATACATGCGCTGGTATTAGCACAATTCATGCAGCAGCATTTAAGATTAGTGGGGATGTTCATACAGGGAGTCCCTAGGTATTCATGGGGAAGGCTATTCTAGGTATCCCTAGATGCTCATACAGAGAGTCTCTAGGTCTCAGGGGGAGGCTCTTCACTGAGGCTTTGCTCCTGTTGTTGGCCTGTCAGAGCTCAAAGTCCCCAACCTGGCTTGTGATTTTAGGACTTCATCTTAAGACACATTGAAGGGTCTTGATTTTCAGAGAGCAGATGCTCTGCCATTGTCTTGGACAGCTTCTGACATTTCCAGGTGCCATTTTAAGCAGTTGCCTTTGACTTCGCATGACAATTTCTGTTTGGGCCTTGGCTACCTTGCTTTTCTGCTCACAGCCTACTGCAGAGGTTAGAGATCGCAGTAACTTGGAACGGATGCCTCTCTGTGGCCTTAAAGGATCCATTTCCAGGTGGAGAGCTGTGTCCTTGCATTGGTTCTGTGCCATTTTGTTAAGCTATTACTTTAAACTCCAACCCAACTGACAAAGTGTGTTTTACCCAAGAAAGCTCACGATTCCACATATTTATGTTAGTCTCTAAGGTGCCACAGGCCTACTCATTGTCTTTAAACTCACCAGGAACTCACAATCATAAATAAATGTAGTAGGAAACCAGCTGAGACCGACATACCCGTGGCTTCAGCGTGTACCAGTTGAGTTTCTTGTTGCTCCAATCCCAGCTAGCAAGGTCTATTTCTATCTCTCCTAAGAAGCTGTTTCGTCCTAATGGGTCATTGTGCCACACAGAAAGATTCAATTTTTGGATCAGCAGCACCATTTTTTCTATTCTGTACTACAAGGGAGAAAGAGAGGGTTGGGCTGTTCAAAATAATTTTGCTTTTGTTAGAATATTAAATACAATTTGGCAATAAAGCTGATTTTTCAGTATTGTAAACAGCAAGTAATAACCTGTCACAGTCCATCCTCCTCCTCCCTCCCCCCAAAAAAAACTATAGAAAACAAACCAAAAGGCACCTGGTCTGTGCTTATTTTGAAGGACTTGGCCCCCTTTTTTGGAAAATTATAAATCTCATGTCAGACTGATGCTGCTTCATAGTCTATATTCAGACATTTCTAATGGCTTCTTCTGCATGTAAGGAAACCATGAATTCTTTTTTATAAGGATAACCCAACACATTTATAAGAATTCTTAAAAGACATGGAGTTTTTAAATAACCCTTACAGCTCTCATCAGTAAGATCATAGTGGTGAATGCTGCATATTTCTGTTTTATGAATAGTAGCCAGTGCAGGATAGAGGAAATAGCTCAGGCAGAAAAATCATAGGGGCTCTCCAAATCCACTTACACTCCTTCTCCCAATCCCAACACAATCTTAGTTCTGTCAACTCTAAACATTCAAAAATCATGAGTCAGCCCTCCCAATAATCATGTGTTTAAGCTTTAAAAGCCTTTTAAAAGCTTTTTAAAATGAGAATACATTTGGGGGCTTTTTATTGGCTTTCTGCTTTAGGATTTATATTTTCAAATTTTCCTCTAACACCAGCAATGTTAGTTTTTTGTTTGTTTGGGCTTTAAGTGGAAGCAGAGATTCTCAGGTTATCACAGGCCTCCATGCAGCTGTGGCTTTAAAAAAAACCAAAACACCTCACCACATTATCATGATACTCATGATTAAAGTAATGAGGACTGGCAACATCTCAACCCGCTGATTTTGGGGATTAAGAAAGAATAAAAAAAAAAAAAAAAAAACCACATTATCATGAGACTCATGATTAAAGTAATGAGGACTGGCAACATCTCAACCCGCTGATTTTGGGGATTAAGAAAGAATTTAGCTAGTCTTCACCTTTTTTGGGGAGGTGCACTTGTTTAAAATACATTTGTAGCCTCTTATTTCCACTAAGAGTCTTGAAAGTGAAACCCAAACAATAGAGGCACTGCTTTTCCACAAAAGATTAGAGCAGTGGTTCCCAAACTTTTCGGCATCGTGTTCCCTTTTTGATTTTTGAAAAATCCTCACATCTCCCCCACCTCCCCCCGCAATGAGGTTTACCAGCTAATTCGATTTAGGGCTTTAATTCGGAATCCCATTTCACTGCCGTGTGTAGACGCGGGCAGTTACTTCGGGCTAGTCAATTTCTAAAATGGCAACTGGCTGGGAACATGCTAATGAAACGCGAGATATTTAAATCCCACGCTTCATTTGCAATTTCAGTTGCCCTCATTAGCCTCCCTAGACCGAACTAAGGGGCTAGTGTAGACATACCCTTAGTCATCGAGATAGGCCTGCCTAGACTAGGGCTGGGTTTTAGGGGACACCAAGCCCTAGGACCAGATCCAGAGAGGCTAGGAGTACCCACCAGTCAGACAGAAATCAATAGGGGTTTGTAAGTGCTCAGCACTTCTAAAGGATCAGACCCTGGCATTGTCAGTGAGTCCCAGGTGTGCTGTAATAAAGCTCGTCAAAAATATTCTTACTCTTAACACTTCGTTGTAAATGGGATTCACCGTTCTCTTCCTCACTGAGGTTTTCCTCTTGCCCATTCGAGCTTTGTCTGGGAGCAGGTAAGTTTTTACATATCTGGAAAAGAGAACTCCAGATGAGTAACATTCAACATTGCCATGCTCCAACCAACTCGAGATTTCTGAGCTGTTACACCAAATTTATGCAAACACAAAACCTGGAGTTGACCGTCTGGAATGAAAACTAGCTAAGAAACCTGCTGCGATATTAACCTGGATTCTGTGTGAAGTTATAAATCATTCAATGGGGAAGGATGGACACTAATGAAATCAGAAGCAGGTGGCTCCCTGGCCAATATGTAAAACTGGCAATGATTTAGAAATCATTAGAGACCATTCTTTGTAACAGTAGAGGTGGTAAGGGGGATAGTGGACCAGCTGTCATATCATAAGCTGTCTGTGCATGTGAGATCAAAGTGACCTTGTGTAAGGGTGAAATGAGAAGAAAGGTGGAATGTCTCCAGGGGATGGAGTCGGTCATCATGTTTGAATCCAAATGGCATGGTGGTAAGCAGAGGCTATCACCACCTGAAACGATCCAATTACTAGTGAGGAAGCATCCACATCAAAGAACCACCATTACAATTAGGACTGAAGAGCTCTTTTTTTATATTCTTCACAGAGAGGCTAAGGATTGAAAAGGCACAAAATGGACACAGGAGACTATACCTCCAATATACTGTGAGGTTCCATCCTAGACAAATGTTCTATTATCTGTATTGCTCTCCAGCAGACCCAAAGTGAGGAATGGGAGGACTGTAGAATGCTTTTATGCTTTGGAAACTCATGTGTAGCTTGCAATGCCAATACAGCGTTTGCAATTTGCCTGAAAACTGACTACCCTTTCACCCCCAGAAGTGATACCTCTAGGTCATGGCAGATAGGTGTGGGGGAAATTGGTATGTCATTGCTTGTGTAATAGGATGATCATATGGATGGGGTACTGAATTAACGGACCTGGATTCAATTCCCAGCTTTCCTTCATCCTTCTGGTTAAGTCATTCCATCTCTGTGCGCCCCCGCATCCCATCTGGGACATGGGAATTTGCCCTGCCTCAGTAATGTTTCATCAGATGCTAAAATGATGGGGCTACATATGCAGGCAGGCAAATTTCCTCTCAGTGTATGGGGCAGCTCTACACCAGAAGGAACGTGCAGTTCTAGGTTCAAAATTTGCTGTATTTATGCATCACACCAAAAGTGTTACTTAAAAATTCCACTACCCCCATTATGTTGTGGGTTTTGTGTTATGCAGAACTATAATCTAGAACAAATGATCTAGTGGCACTTCATAGACTAACAAAACATGTAGATGGCATCATGAGCTTTTGTGGGCGCAGCCCACTTCTTCAGATGACCCTAATGTTGAGAGCTCCTCCTTGATTTTTTTCCATTTGTTGTACAGAATGCTGATAAAGGTGATTCCTTAGGTTTTTTTTGCAAGAGCGTGGCATAATCTCCGTCTGTAGTCCATGGGATATGTAGACTGTAGTGGGTTTTTCACTCTTAGGTATGATGTTCATCTGTTTGCACTTGGAAAGGAAGAGGATGTCAGTCTGGATCTGTGCGAGTTTCTTTGTGTAGTTGATGGATTTCCACTCCATTCAGCTGAATGCAATGCCTTGCATATGAAGAAGTGGGCTATGCCCACGAAAGCTCATACCACCATCCACATGTTTTGTTAGTCTTTAAAGTGCTACCAGACTATTTGTTGTTTTTTAAGTTTATCCTGTACAGACTAACTCTGCTACCCCCTGAAGCTTATAACCTAGAAGACATTCAATTGAAGATCCTACATAGGTTAAAAAAAAGACAGACAGTCTCCTTTTCAGCCTCACATGATGGAGAATCACTAGTATCAACAAAAATGTATTTACAATATTGTGATCATGTTTTTGCCAGCCATGTGCCAAAGGTCTGTAGGAACCAACATAAACAAGAATCAAATCATAAGTATCATCATATCCCCATATCCCCTACTGTCTTCAATAGGAATTGCAGGGTTTTAACCCCTATCATGAGCAGGGCTTTAGGTTTCAATATCCCATTCAAATTTAAGTCAGTGGCAAATCCCTTACTGATTCGAGTAGGTGTAGGGCTGTCAACTGGAAAGGCAGCACTGCCATGCAAGTGAGAGAAATCTGGAGGAGGGAGGGAGGAAACCATTAAATTTTTAGGCTAAAGACATTAAACAGGTAAAGCAAGAATCCCCCAGGGCAAAATATCAGACAATTTAGAAATAAAACTGAAACAAACATAAGCCTCACTCACGGATCAGATCTGCCTTTCTTCTCATCCACCACAGCCAGGTCTTTGCACTGGAAAACACAAATCTGGAATTCTCGGTTTTTCTCATCATAATCCAGAGCAAACTGAACAGTGCCTTGTGCATCCACGCTCCCAAAATCACCACTGTACACACTGAGCACGCTACCACTCACCTGTCCGGGCAGAAAAGAGAGGTTAGTGCTAATAAGGCAGGCAGCCTCCTTATGCTGGGAAAAAACAACAACCAGCACTACATTCACAGCAAAACACTGTAAAAACTCTGTACTTGATTTTAGCTATATTAATCTGTGCCTCAGCTTTGCAGCTGTAAAACAAGGATAACAGTGCTTTCTTTTCTCCACCACTGTCAGTTTTATCTATATAGGTTGTAAATAGCTTGGAGCAGAGATTTTTTTCTTATTTTGTGTTTACATAAAAACCTAGCACGGTAGGCTCTTGATCTTGGATGGGGCCTCTAGACACAACTATAAGCATACATAAATTATAAAAAGAAAAACACAATCATTACAGTCATCCTCCTGCTCCTTACGGCAACACTAGAATATTTGGTTGGGGCAGGGAGATTACTAGGGGATTTTGCCCTCCTCCTTGCCTGCCAACAGACCACCCTGGGAGGAGCCGAGATGGCAAGCCCCAGACCTGCCAGCCGCTCTCTGAGTGGCATGGGTGCCTGCAGTGGTCACTCTGCAGTATAGCTGTCCCCTGTGCTTGCTGCCCCAGCGGTCACTCTGAGTATCACATCGCTCCTCTCTCTGCTCCCTCCCTTTCCATGTTCAGGAAAACAGTCCCATTATCACCACTTTCCATTTTCCAGGAACAACCAAACCCTTATGTTATTGTAAGTTCTCAGGGGAAGCTGCATACCAAATTTGGTGGCACTAGCTCTTACCCTTTAGGAGGAGTTCTTGAACAAACGGACCCAGACAGACAGACACATTTCTAAAACATGATAGACCAGATAATGCCCCAAAATAAGCAGAGACTCCAGATGCCACAGCATAAGAGCTAAATGCAGTGTCCTACAATAACCACCAATGGGCAGAGTTGAGCCTGGGATCTCTGTGTAGGAGTCTCTACTGCTAGAGCTATAAAGCCAGCTGGCTCTCAGCTTAGGCTGTAGAGCTCCCTTGTTCCTATCTTTGGCTGTAAGTTTAAGTGCCACTACATGGGACAGTGAACCACTAGGTGTGCGGGTTACACTACCACAAACCTCTTTTTAGCACGATGGGCCCATTAAATACCTACCGAAGAGACCGATGCCATGTCAGAGGAGGGCCTGCCACTACTAGGCGACTTTTTGTGCCTGTTAAACTGGAAGCTGATTTCTGAAGCCGTGTCTGATTCAGTCTGTGAAGAAATGAACAGGCACCTTTAAACACTGCGGTATAAGCACTCTGCACAAAACCCCAGAGCTCAGCAGACTCCCATGAGAGATCGGTTACAAGAAGATTTAAAAGGAATGTTGCGCGGGGAAGTCTCCTCAGGGATATTTCCTCTGACTGACTGAAATAACATCATTGCTGGACGACCAATGGAGCTGCACGTAATCTCCCTCTCTGGAGAAATCACCAGGATGATCTTGGGAGAACGACAAAGGAGAAGTCCTGGGTATCCTTCAGGACTATTTCTGTTAAAAAGGATCTTTGATTCAACCTCCCAAACCGAAGGCACGGTCTCAGGGCCGGCCTTAGAGAAAAGGGCTCCGAGCAAACTTATATTTTGGCACCTCAGGGTCCTGGCACCTCTGTGTCTTCTCCTCTCTCCACAGTCCTCGCTGCCTCCCTAGGGCCCCTCACCTGGCACTCACTGCCTCCCCCACCCTACTGCCCCTTCTACGGCCTCTCAGCCCAGGCCTGCCCTGCTCTTTGCTTCTTGACCACAGTGCCCCACTGACCACAGCACCTAGGCCAGGTGTTCCCTCTCCCCATCCCCATAAGGCCAGTCCTGGGAGTGCTGCGAGTGGCCCCACACAGTATCATCGCCAGAGTTTGTGGCTCAACCAATGTTTAAAAAAACCAAGCATTTGCAGCAACATATTTTACGGAGATGAAGGTTCTCCATGGATGTTATTCATGTTCAAGTTGGTGCATTTTGGGCTACCCCCTACCTCAGATTGCAGGACCGGGGTGGATCTGCTCAGCTCCTTGGCTCGTTCGGGCTCAAGAAGTTGATGGGTTATAATGGGAGGCTTATTGTATGCTGTAGGCACAAAGTGGAAAAAAGGCAACAAATTATCCTACAGACTAGGCAGGAAAACAATGACCCAGACCCACTTTCCGTTAACCGCAGTAGGTACATAGGGCTTGGGATGACCTAGGGAAATTATCTTGGAAGTCAACAGAGTTCTATCCACTCACTCCATACCTGAATTTAGCCCTGTAAGTTTAACTGTAACCCTGAAATACTTTTTATCAAATTTTTCGATGCTATTTTCAATGAGTTTTCACGGTATTTGTCAGAGTGTGTAAACTCCCTCTAGTGGCTAGTTTAATCTAAATATTAGCTAAAAGAATTGTGCATTACTCTTCAGTTATGAACAACAAATTTATCTCATTATTAATGTAGGATTAATTTAGGATAAAATGTGAACACAAAAAATTACTGATATTTACCATCAGCATATTGCATGCAGTATTCACTGTTTGCAAAAAATCACTATGTATCTGTGCCTACAGTTTCAGAGTTGCATACACTCTTCTCCTAGTACTTCTGAGGAAGACAGAGATGATTATTTTGAATCCAACTTTCTCTTTGTAGTTAGGTAGGTACATACCCTGCTGAAGTTCATGAGGAGAAACCTATAGATTTCAGTGGGCTTTGTATCAGATCATAAGTTATCAAATGGATTAGTAATATCCAATTTGATCTTCAGGCTGCATGAGATATGGAGGGAAAAGTCACCTCACTCCTTAATTATTGTTAAGAGTGATACTGGTCACTAACATCTAAAGATACGTTCTGCTCCCAGTCACACCAGTGTATATCAGGGCAGCTCTACTGACTTTACTCAGTTCCTCCTGCTTTACATTGGTATAACTAGCAGCCGAATTTGGTCCTAAGATTTTGGTCAGTCTTTAAATACACAGTTTGCACAGACTCTTAACAACATGCTTTTAAAATTCTGCTACTGCATTGGCACTAACTGGTTTTTCAGAATATATGGCAACATCTCAAGGGAAAGATTAAACAAAAGGTGAAGGGAGTCTTTTGTATTAAAAAAAAGGCGAGTTTTAAAAATGTCCAAGTTAAAAAGAGGATTAGACATTTAAACGCCAAGTTAAATAAAATCTATTTGATCCTTGTTTAACTAACCCCTTTCTAAAACAATGGACTTGATTTTAGATTATCCACAATACATCCTACAATAATCAAAGTGCCCAAGCACACTCTCAGTAGTATAGAAACCTACAAGTCATTTTCACCTCTAAACTGCAGTAAACACAATACATTGTTGATTACAACCCGCCCTCCAGGTTTATTATTTTGCCAACAAATTACATCAAAACAATGCTACATAGTTGATTTTGTTACCTTCAGGGCTTATGGCTCTGAACAAAAACTTCATAGCAACTTTAAAACAGAGGCTGAAATCCTGGTCCTTGTGCAAGTCCCAAACAAACTGAGCTGTGCAGCATATAGAGGCCTGGAGCAGCTAGTCTGGAGTCATTACTGCAGCATCGCTTCCTCCAGTCTTTCCCAACACAGGGACTGCAGCCAGCAGATACGGACTCTGCCAAAGTCCCACCCCCGATGTGCCACTGAGTGGGCTGCCATGGAGCCTGGCACAGACAGCTCAGTTATGGCCTTTTCACCATCCTACTGACACCCCTAAGGTTTCACCTACAACATAATGACAAGCCAAAGATAAACATCAACTTGGCAAGAGATTTACCAAGATTTGAATCTAACCCTAGGCAATATCAGCTGTATAATTTGATAAAGAAACATACTTTGTTTAGTCCATGTACATGAACGCAATGGCTGCAGGATCAGGGTTGTGAGGTATGAGCTTAAGCGAATGTAAAACAAAGAGGACAGACATACATTACTCACTCTCGTTGGTTGTGTAAATATTCACCATGCTCTTGGCTAGGTTAACGTTATTCGCTCGTGCCAGAGCCATGGCAACAGGGGACTGATGCCGGTCTTCCTCTGGAATAAATTTTAAAAAATCTATTAATTATAGACATTAAATAATCAGTACACTAATTGGATTAAATAATGGAGGCGATTCAAAGGCACACATGCAGTTTAGGCACCTAATTAATGACTCAATAGGAGACAGGCACTTGTGCCTTTGAAAAATCTCCCCCCAATAACAAACCAAACACTTAAAGAGTTAATCTAGTCACCAAAATAGACCATCCCAGGCGCAAAGCTTCCCACACAAAACACCACCTGGCAGGCTCATTCCTGTGAAAACAGCATGTAGACAAAGACATTTAAATATATCTTTGAAAAGTGGCCTGATATCTACCTACAAGGTAGGCTTCCATTGAAGGAAAACACACTTCAGTATTTCGACCAAGATGTTAGAAGAGAGGGAATAAACCCTGTTGTGGCAGCAGTACTTGAAAATAAGGCTATGTGAAGTGTGAAGAAAGTGGCATTAACTAAGTCTCAACCTGATACTGTCCTAGGCTATGGTAAGAGTAGAAGGCAGCTATGGAGACTGTATACAAAACTCAGAGCCTTCCACTTCTGTCACTGGCTGGAGGAACACAGCCCGCATTTTAAGAAAAATAGCTACAGTACTGCAAGTGCTAGTTTTTACCTAAAAATACAAGCTAGCATGGTACATTTTGTCCCCCACCTATCGTATCACTCAGGCACGTAAACAAAATCACACTTCAGGCAGCTAGGCATATGAAAGCAACATAACTACAAGGAGGAGTAGTGTATAAAAATCCAGAGAGATGAAGAATGGCAGTGCAATTAATTGTGGTTGTAGTTTTGAGCACAAAATTTATTAATGGACAAAATCTTGGAGGCCTGGAAATGCCCACAAGTCACTGACATTTAAACACTGCTTGGGAGCCTCAATCCATTTACTGATGGAGAGGTCTCTATGCCACCAAAGCAAAAAATCTAAATAACTGCCACGCTAAATTAGGCCTCCTGATGGTGTCTGATATTTCTAACAACACGTCAGTGAGAAGAACAAACGTATTTTCTGTAATTATCCCTGGTACCGACTTAACACAAAATCTCTGGGAAAAAGCTCTCCAATGGCAGCCTCCAAAGAGAGAACAGAGTGAGTTGACAGCCTGAACTGTCCCCATCCACAGATTAGGTGCCTCCAGGTCAGAGATAAGGAAAGAGACTAGATGCAGGGAAGGAGGGAACCCTACTTATTAGGACTTTATAGGGAATGCAGTTGGAGTTCTCAATACCTGAGAATACAGCTGAGTCAGTTCCTTGAATTGCTTCTCTCTCCATGGCTGGTTCCTTGGGCATCACATTATTTGCAGGCTCACCTGTCTTAGTCTCAGGCACCTCTCCATTAGTTTCCATTTTGTCTTGAATGCCCAAATCAGACATTTCATCCCTACCCCTATCTGAAGGTACAGGTTCTATCAATATCTGAACCCTGCTCGCCAAGGAGTCCACCTTGCGCCTGCTTTCCTCAGGCATGACATACTCATCTGCAGGCGTTTCTGGCTCAAACGTGCTGCTGGGCCCCTCTTGAGTGGGTGATTCTATTTTAATTGAAGGCACTCGCACAGGCAGTTTGGATTTCCTCAGGCAGCGCTGTGCCTTTCTCTCCTCCTCTTGCCTCCCATTACTTTCAGTCAATGAATTATTCCTAGTAAGTATTGTCCCTTTGCTCTTGCTGTATGTAGATCTGGGCATAGAAGAAGCTGAGCCCCTCCTTGGTGGGGCGACATAGCATGGTTCATCTTCACTAGAAGAGAAGGTGACTGTTCTTTTGTAGGGAACTCTGCTTTTTATGGAGACAGTGGACTTTTCTTCGCCATTTTGGCTTTGATTAGACTGTGCAGAGAGAGATCGACTCAGTGTGAGCGGTCTTCCATTGGATTCCACCACACCAGGCTTTTCAAAAGACTCCTCTGAAACATTACTTGCTACCACAGTATCTGCACCTTTCTCCCAAAAGTTTCTCAGGCTCTTAAAGTGTTCATGATCTAGGCCAATTTCCTCCTCTTTACTGCTCATGGAAGAGATGGTGTAGTTGGCTCCTTGCTTCAGAGCCGGATTGTTGTCTTCCTCTCCAGACAATAATTTTGAGCTTTTAAGGGACTCTCTTTTCATATAACTGTCCTCAGTTTGCTCCGTGAGAGTCTCTGACCTGAACAGACCTTTGCTTGCTTTCCTCTTGACTGGTATCTTGCTGGTAGTATTAATGTCTTTGAGGGGTGCTTTCTGCGTCGTTGGAGTCCCACTGGCCACATCAGGAGCCTCCACCCTAGAAGAACAATTGGACTGTACCATATCTTCTTCTGAGAGCTTGGCAGGAGATGGAGGTACTTCATGACCTACGAAAACAAACATACATTCACAGCCAAATGCTTGCACAGCAACATTTCACCAGAAGGTTTGTGCAACAGCTGGTCAAAAAGAAAGGGAAAACATTTTGGAGAAGCCACCAACATCCCCCCTCGTTTCCCCCCCTTCTAATTGTGAAGTTTCAACCAAAAAATAAAATAAAATAAAATAAAATAAAATAAAATAAAAATAAAAACACAATTTCCCCTGTTTGTTCCTTTGAGGCAAGGTAAGTGGTCTCTCATTATTCATATGCACTATTCGCGATGCACTCAGTGTGCTCAGTGCTGTACAAGAGACAGAAAGGAGGTCCTTGTCCTGAGTTTACAAGCCAAAACAGACAACATTTGACACACTAGGGGAACCAAAAGAAGGTTTAATCAGAGGGTTTCTCTCCCTGCCTCCCGTCTTTGATAGAATGTGCTAAAGGGTTAATATTTGTGCATTTCAGGGAACTCATTCCTATGTGCTGAGGTAAGAACTGCCCTTAGTCACAACAAGCAATGCTTTGAACCTAGACACCTTCCATATTGTACAATACAAGTCATATTGCTGAACAAACAACAGCCTTACCTTTTCCAGACAGCTGCCAGTTGTCTGTGGAAGTGAAGTGTGGACTAACTCCAGCGTTGCTTTCTCCTGGGGAGATGTCATTTACATTGGATCTCTGCAAGCAAATAAACCCTGTCAGCATGTATGAACTGGCAAAATGTCTGAGTCTAGTTCTACAAATCAATTCTCTGTCATGGCAGGAGCATTAGAGTCCACCCAAAAATAGGGTGGGAGGAGCCAAGGCCCCCCATCCCTCCTCTAATGCTGAAGTCCCCACCCCAGTCAAGCTGGATTGAGGCTGGGAGCCAGAGACCCAGGCAGGAGAGTCTGGAGCTCTCCACATATGGCTGTCATCTGGACTCAGCTCTAGCTGAGGGACTACAGCCCTGCCATGGTAAGAGCTCAGCTAGAGGGCGCCATGCTATAGATCCCCCATCTGCCTGAATTGGGAACGAGAGCAGCCCTCAGCTCGTGTCCCCTGCCCTAGCAGGTGGAGAGTCCACAGCATAGCTCCCCACAGCTGTCCACGTTGATGTTCCCATGGCCAGTCTGTGCCCCTCCCCCCCAAAGCCACAGCTAGGTCCAGATAAGAGCCATGTATGGGCAGCTGCGAGGAGCCTTGGACTCTGGATGGTGAAGGAGAAGAGCTCGCATGGCACAGCCTCAGGCCAGGGACTACTCCCAACTTCTACACCCCAGGCTGGCTGGTGGAGGGTCCCTGGAGCCCACAACTGCCCGGGTTCCGCTGCCAGTCTGGCCAGGAGGAGTGGAAGCAGGACCCCGCTGAAAAGTGGGAAGGTGAGGACCCCTCCTCCCATTTCCACTTATCTGGCACCAGTGCACTGCAATACTGCCTGTTCTTTGCTGATTGCATACGATAGTTAAGTCTCCAGAGGCTTTAATACTTTAGTCTAGTCTAAGTTATTGGGCTCAATCCAGAGAAAACTGGGTGGGGTTAGTAGTTTGTCAGACTAGGTGATTGGTCCTTTCTGACCTGAAACTCTATAAAAACTGGAAAGACATTGTCTTGTATCTCAGCATAGGCCCCAAGCAGCCCTCCCAGCCTCTTGATCAGCCAACAGACACAGGCTACATATAGATCCCAAGGATCATCAAGCAACACATAGATGCTATGTGTGGATACTACCTCATTTGAGGAGGGTGTCAGTATGATGAGTCTTGGTTTTGGTTTTGGCCAGGTTTTATGTTCCTCTGAAGAATCCACAGCAGTTGCACTGGATCTGTGAAAGATGAGAGCTGCCTTAGCAAAGACAGATGACAACACCAAATTTGAAAGTACATTGCATGGTTGGGTGGGCAATAATTTTTGATGAGGGGAGCCACTCCAAGAATTTGCTAAGTGGTCAAGAGATGCACTGTTCTATGATATTAATGGAGGAAGTGTGGGGTCTTTGATGGCGGTTGGGTGCAGAAGGGAGATTTGAGTCAAAGACAGGGAGGGATGTGGGGTCTGGAAGTGGGTTGTGACCGAGGGCAGGGGATTGGGGTGCATGGTCCTGGAGGGGGAATGGGTGCAGAAGAGGATTCTGACCTGGAGGAGTGGCGTACGAGGGTGTGGAGGGTATCAGGCCAAAGCTCCTCCTTATTCAGTCCAAAAGCTTAACAGGTTTAATGGGGGATCAGATAATTATACAGACAACAGCCAGAATTACACTGGACAGGAGACAAATACATATATGGAGTGCAAATGCTTGGGCAGAAGTCAATTGCTACCTGCCTGCAGGTTAGGAAGAAATTTCCCTACGGGCAGGCTATGCGATTGGCCAGAACTGTCCAAGAAAGGGGCAGGCAATGTCAAAGACAAGATAATGAACCACTGGTCAGATCTAGTACAGTAATTCCAATGTTTAGGTCAGACTCCCATAGGGCTTTTGCCCAAGTGAGAGGAAAAGTAAAATCCTGAGGATTTCAGGATTTGGCCCAAATGAAATTTAAGGAATTTCTATGCTGGCAAAGGAGTAGAACATTGTTATGCAAGGAAACTCTTTACTAAATAATCCCACCATCAACTGCTCTGAGCATGGATGCATCATTGTGCCTCGTCTAATAATTCACTACCTTCCTGTTGCTAAATGCAGGACAATGTAGCACTTTAAAGACTAACAAGATGGTTTATTAGATGATGAGCTTTCGTGGGCCAGACCCACTTCCTCAGATCAAATAATGGAAGAAAACAGTCACAACCATATATACCAAAGGATACAATTTAAAAAAAATGAACCACATGAAAAGGACAAATCACATTACAGAACAGAAGGGGGATGTGTGGGGGGGGAAGGAAGGTGAATGCCAGTGAGTTAATGATATTAGAGGTGGGGAAGGGGAAATGTCTGTGAGTTAATAGTATTAGAGGTGATAATTGGGGAAGCTATCTTTGTAATGTGTAAGATAGTTGGGGTCTTTGTTAAGTCCGGTGCGGAGGGTGTTGAATTTTAACATGAATGCCAGTTCAGAAGATTCCCTTTCAAGTGCAGATTTGAATGTCTTCTGAAGTAGGACATTCAAATCTGCACTTGAAAGGGAATCCTCTGAACTGGCATTCATGCTAAAATTCGACACCCTCCGCACCGGACTTAACAAAGACCCCAACTATCTTACACATTACAAAGATAGCTTCCCCAATTATCACCTCTAATACTAATAACTCACAGACATTTCCCCTTCCCCACCTCTAATATCATTAACTCACTGGCATTCACCTTCCTTCCCCCCCCCCCACATCCCCCTTCTGTTCTGCAATGTGATTTGTCCTTTTCATATTTGTTCATTTTTTTAAATTGTATCCTTTGGTATATATGGTTGTGACTGTTTTCTTCCATTATTTGATCTGAGGAAGTGGGTCTGGCCCACGAAAGCTCATCATCTAATAAACCATCTTGTTAGTCTTTAAAGTGCTACATTGTCCTGCATTTTGCTTCAGCTACCCCAGACTAACACGGCTACATCTCTACCACTATTCCTGTTGCTAAAAATTATTTATTATTTTGCTGACCAAATGTAGATGAGCTGGAACAACAGAAATGCACCTATTTTAACTGTTTATCTAGAACTTATAAATGTTGAAGGAAGTCACCGTGTTGCTTGTACTTTGATTAGTTATTCTTTGCACAATCAAGCTACAATGCAGCATTCTGAATCTGCAAAAAGGGTGGCAAGGAACAGCTAAGAAATTAACAGAGTCCCCACAGCAGCTTCTTTTGTTAATGGCTCTCAGCAGCAAAAATTAAACAAATATAAGCCCATGTTTTATCTGGAAATTTAACCATAATATTCAGAGATTGGCCTCTGCCGCCTTTTTATTAGCGCCTTATCAAATCATGCAGGAAAAGTCTTAATAAAAAACACATTACCAGACATTTATTACAGGAGGGTAAATAAGATACCCCTTAGGAACTACAGGCTCATTTAAAGAACCAAGATTTTGCTTGTTAGTTTTAATTTTCACAAACAATAACGGAGACAGCCAAAGAGACTATGCAGCAAACATGCAGCATGGAAACGATTTCTCTTCATCAGTTACCTCTCAGCTCCTGAGTCTGGAGTGAGTTCAGGGAAGAGAGGACTGGACGCATCTGATGACAGTGAAGCAGCTCTACCTTCCAGGCTCTGCCGGATGTGCTCATTAGGCTCATCTATTATACAACACAGAGGATTGGGAAATGACATTTAATTAAAAACCACGACAGCCGCTACGTTTTTATGTGGTGTAAAACACTTGTTCAATGATTCATACCAGAGCTAAACTGTGAAATTAACGGGGGGTAATGGATAGAGAGGCAGACTGGCCAGCTCTCTACTCTCAGAGTCTCAATTAAAAGATCTGTCCATTTCAATGGAGGTGGATAGGGTGCAAAAGACACATACAACTTTCAAAAGCAAGTCCCAGTCCACTGTGATTTGTGAGCATCAACAGATTTGGCTAATGACTCTACTCAGCATAGAAGCTGTCAAACCAGTTACAGGTAATAAACCTTCACAGGACACCGCAGCAGTGGTCAAAGTTAATCCATTTCAGGATTTGAATTCAGCTATTTCCTGTTTTGACTCAAAGTCATCTGATCTTGGCAAACAGATGAGGAGGCCAATAGAGTTAATAAGAGGAGAGCCCTATTGTTTGTACTGGAACAAGGCTAAGCTGTGTCTTCTGAGTTTTATTGAACCAACTGACAGGAAAAAAAACAAATAGATAACAAAAAAAATATATGCCAGCGTACAAAAGCTGCCTTAAACTCAATTGTCAAACAGATTTACTGTACAACACAAAGGGTTAAACTCTCAAACAGGGAGGAAAAAGTCAATGTGTTCTGAGCAATAAAAGCTACACAAGATCTCAATACGTTTATTCTTGATCCAGCAATATCTATTGCACCCAGACTACATACCTATTATTAAACCTGCCAGCAATCCTTAGATTGTATGGAACAGACCACACAAGGGCTCCTATTCAAAGGCCTGAAATATCACAATATCACATTGTATAACACATATGTGCATGCGTGTGTGTGCATGTGCAGCACACTGTATAACATGGAATTCAGCCATTGGTTTGGAAAAATTGAGAGTCAAAACAGCAGAGAAACTCTTCATGGGCACATCATGGTTCGGCCTCTTCCTACAGCCACGGTGATTCTTGCACCTTCCTTGGAAGCACATAGTACTGACCACTGACAGACCAACCACTGTACCAGGTGGCTGACTATCCGAGTCAAAATGGCAAAACCTATGTTCCTAAAACCTTAAAATTCAAGTCTGTGCATCATCATGTATCCAAGATTCTGCAGGCCAAAAATCTGTCCTTACCTACATCTATGTCTGGGTTGCAGAAATGTACATGGAGGCAGAATATGGTCCCCACAACTGGAATTGGAATTCTATTGGTGATGCACAAGACAGAAATTTTCCTAAACACATTCTTACAGGAGTAACGTGAGCAGATAGAACCCACATTAAGGGTGCGTCTACACAGCACGCTTAGCTTGAAATAAGCTACGCAATTTGAGCTACTCAAATTGCATAGCTTATTTTGAGTTATTTAGAAATAGCTTATTTCGTAATTTGGTGCTGTTTACACAGCGCCAAATTTTGAAAAAGTGCTACTCTGAAACGTCCCTTAATACTTGCGGAACAAGGTTCACAGGGACATCAGAACAGCAAGCCCATTAGATTTCGAAATAATGGGCTTGTTCAAAAGATGCAGAATAGCTATTTGGGATAGTGGAAGTTGGCCCAGGCTTTAGCTCCAGCCTCACCCACCTTGTCTCTCCATTTTTCCATATTTTTTTTCCTGAGAACTGCAAAAGGGGTAGCATTTCAATGTACAAAGGAAAGCCACAGAATTGTAATGTGGTAAAAAGTCTCCATTTGGCTGGGCACATGCCAAGACAAGCATGGCAAATGACAAGCACTGTGTGTCAAACCAAATGGGTGGACACAAGCAAGAGCTTCCTCCTTCACCCGAACACTCTCTTGCACCCAAGATAGTGAGATGCAAACCAGGTCACTCTTCTAGAACCAGAAGGAGAAGGAGCAAACAAAAACCTTTCAAATTTATACTTGGTCTATGCAAGCCATGAGAGGCCTTGACAACTAACACTTGCGTTCACCTTGCAACGCACTATGAAACCCATTGCAACATATTTGCACTGTTGCCAGCTGAGCACCGTGAGGTCTTCATGTAGTCTCATTCAGATTCCCGACCAACGAGATTTCCCTATCAAATCAACTATCACAAATCATTGTCTTAATTACAAACAGGTTGTCAGGGTATTATAATCCACAAAAGCCAGGAAAATGGCCTTGGTTACTTTAAGAACGGATACTGTGAGAGTCAAGTTCCACCCTGAATTAGCAGTTGTTCAACGAGTTCAGCTTGCTTAGCTCTATATTTAAAAGAAAAATACATGGGTACGGCTTAATCATATGGCACTAACAGGTCAATTGTTTCCTTGGCTATCCATTCCTTACTGCATTAAAACACAGACCTGCATTTGATACAAGATGAAACACTAGAAATGTACTATAGGGAATCATCCCACATTGGCAGGAAAAAGTAGGTGCTTTCTTTTTTGACACGCCTCATGCAGTGACTGTTCCGGGATAAAGAAGTTATCACTAAATTCATGAAATTACCCAGTTTGAGAAAAAGCTAAGAAAGCTGACTGTAGGCAAACACGCTCCTCCCAGGATTTAAAAAGGAGCCATTATCTGCTGGACCTGAGAAGTTCACTCAATGCAGTTGAGTGGAATGAGGTGTAACAGTTAATCCAAACTAAGGATTTAGTTCGGATTAATTTTAAACTGTTGCGTGCAGCCGCAGGCAGTTTGTTCGAACTAAGGGGGATTTAAAAATGGCAGCCAGACTGGAGCATGCAAATAAAGCCCGGGATATTTAAATCCGGGCTTCATTTGCAACTCCGGTTGCCTGATTTGCCTACCTAGCTCGAATTACCGAGCTCATGTAGACATACCCTTAGGGATTTCTACGGCGGCCCATCATCACCGCAACATCGGAGCATCTTCCATAGTGAGCAGTGGAAGTCCCAGTGAACTATCTGGAGTCTCTGGCACTTTTGCTCTGGAGTCCAAACTCTGCTTCTAGTAGAAATGTTTTGTTCTTTTAGGACTTTAAAGTTTCCCCTTCTGCTTCCCTTTGGTAGCAGCTAAGGGTGGAAGAGACTGTCAGGGTACGTCTAGACTACAGGATTTTTTTTTTTTTAAGCGGCCTTTTTTCGAAAAAACTTCACGTGTGTCTAGACTGCTGCCGAGTTGTTTTTTTGACAGCAGTAAACCTCATTTTTAAAAGAGTTTTTTTTCAAAAGAGCTCCTTCGAAAAAAAGGCGTTCTTGAATGCAAACAGGGCTTTTTCGAAAGAGAGCATCCAGAGTGCCTGAGTGCTCTCTTGAAAAAGCGGATCACTTTTTCGAAAGTTGTGTAGCTGTCTAGGCGATCTCTTTCGAAAGAGGCTTGTTGTCTAAACCTACCCTCAGCGTCCAGCAGGGTAGGACTTTGCAAAGGACAGGTTCTCTTAGTTCACTTCCTAAGGCAATAACTCTGAGCCTTAAGTCCGGATTCAGTCTTATACCCATAGAAGCACTGCACTAATCTTGTTAAACGAACACCTACCTCTTCCAGTCAGACTTAAGAACTGACTGCAGGGTAAACAGTTCCGATCTCCGGAGGGAAAGAATAAAGGTTAGCAAGACAGCAAGTGAATTTCCTTATCTCACTGATTTCAGACTTGACATAGGCTCAAGGCACGTTCCATTCTGCTACCTACTTGCATGAATCGGATTTTGCCCTCAGTGACACCAGTAGTATTCTGGTGCAACATCGTCATCAATGGAATCATGGCAGGGTTGGTGAGATCACTATTTTACTTTTTACAGTGAAGAGCAAATGGTACTATATTAATATACAGCAATTAGAGGGAGGATTTTTGCATCTGACTACTACTAGAAGTAGCCTTTAGTGTAAGCAATGGTTTGAGTACCTGACCTTTGTCCCCTAACCAAAACTATAGCATGGCAGTGGAAAGGTTAATAGGAGGAATTCTATTTGAAAATAAGAGTCATATACTGGTCCAATGATTTGAAAATCAGCCTCAGAATAGAAAGAGAAACAAGTAGGAAGGGGAAGAAAGAAAATGGGAGAATGAAGAGAGGGCAAAGTCTAACCACAATAATAAACAATATGAAAGTTTAGCAGCATTTGCCACATCCTGTTTAAACAAATATTCATCTCCCACTACTCAAAACACACATGCTAAGACACAACTTATGATGAGTCTGAAATCAGGGAGATAAGGGTGTTCAATTACTGTCTTGCCAACCTTTATTCTTTGCCTCCACGAATCAGAACTGTTTAGTTAGCCATCAATTAAGTCTGAGTAGAACAGGTAGGTGTTCAAGTAACAAGATGAGTGCAATGCTTCCATGAGTCTAGGGCTCAGGATCCTCATTTAAAGCTCTGAGCATTACGAAGTGAAATGAGAGACCCTTGATTTGGAAAGGTATAATACTAGGGATGTAAGAGAGTAGTCGATTAGTCGACTACTTGCATTAACCCCTCCGGGGGGGGGGGAGGAGAGGAGGAGGACAGAAGGAGCTGGTGTGGGGGAGCCAGCTTAAAAGTGCAAGCTGGGACTGGACTGGCTGCTTTCCCCTATCGAGTAATTGATAAGTATTCTATTAGCTGATTACTAAAATAACCTAATTTTAACATTCCTATAGAATACACATGTAGTCTACAGCATTTCACATTGTAGTCCAAACTCTGCTGGTGGTAGGGTTGCTGGGATAGCACAAGTTGAAAAAGCAATCCCGTTCCAGGCATGAATCAAGAAGGAAATGCAGAAGGAGCCCACTATGGAGAGGAGGTGACTATGAAGTCAGGTGAAGCAACACAAGAGCGTTTTGAAAAACTGGAAGGTGATTCAACCTGAATTATGCACAGGAGCAAAGCACAATTAGGTCACTGCAGAACTTGGCAGCTCTAAGCAAAGTTTGCCATCAGGTCCTGGATCTCCCGGAACCTGCTGGAGCCAATAATTAATCAAGCGTGTCTGAATATCTGTGATTTTCCACTCTAGCAAAATAATTAAGCTGTAGATTGCGCAAGATTGGCACACAGTCCTGCAGCATTTCTGCCGAGTCTTACTTGGCTCATATTCATGTTCGGAACTGGATGTGAATCATCCCCGGTATTATTTTCCACAAGCGTTCAGTAAAAAAATGCCAAATTCAGGCTGGTTATATTTGGACTCAATGCACAGCCCCGCCCAGCTCACGAAAGGCTACACTATTCTCTTCAGTGCCCTTAGCAGTCAAATCAGATTTCTTCTGTTCCATGCACACTCATGAGTTTGCACATGCGTATCAAATGAAGCACAATGCATCTTGGAATTAGTGCACGCTCCCAGACGCACCCTTGCCTTAGCACAATAGCCCGGGTGTGAGTCAGGCATTTTCAGCACGGACTCAGCACACCTTGTGGTACCTAGTTCCTTGGTAGGCAACTAGACTTTGCAGAGTTCTCATTTTCCTTAGAACAGGGGTGGGGAATCTTGGTTGGGGACCCCTGACCCACAGAAAAAACAGTTGGGGGCTTCACAAAAGTGCCTGGGGTAGTAAATATTGTGGGCCACCCTGGGCTCTGGGGTGGGGCCAAAATGAGGGGTTCAGTTGTGGGAGAGGGCTGCTGGGAAGCAGGCTTGGGGTGTGGAGTCTGGGCAGGGGGGAGGGTGCAGGAGTGGATTGGGGAGGTGGATCTGGGAAGGTGTTAGGGTGCAGAGCAGGCTAGGGGTGGGAAGGCTGGGTAGAAGGTAGGTGCAGGAGCAAAGTGGGGATGGGGGAGTCTGGGCAGAAGGGGGGAGTGCAGGAGCTGCTTTCTCCCCCACCCATGAATTAGATCTGGACCTGGCTTGCCTGACTCTGGCCTGTGAGGCTTGAGGCTTTCCCACTGCTCCAGCCCTGTGGGTGCAACTCCGGGAGCATTGCAGGGCCTCAACTTCTCTGAGGCTGGGGGTGGTGGTGAAGAGCCCTGAGCCTCAGGGGCGCTGGATACAGGCAAGCCAGGGGCCACATCTGACACCCCCCAGGTCTTAGGTTCCCCACTCCTGTCTTAGAGGGCCAAGGATTCCTCCTCCAGCAGAAGTGGCAGTGAGCACAAGGAAGGATGCAGCCATCCACACAGAAGACCTGAGGCAACTTCCTTCCAGCCCCTGGACAGCCGGGCTCTTGCAGGAGCTCTCTGCCATCTGAACCCCACAATCCCCTCTCCAGGGTGGCTCACATCGCATGGGAGGAACCCACGGCCCTGACCTACTGGGCTCAGTAGAACCCTGCAGGACTGTAATGGGAAGGAACAAATGGCAGGGAGAAGAGCTGTCACTTCCAGTCTACCCCTCACACATCTGAGTCCTGCTGGGCACCCACGTGCCGTCAGGGTTGATCTCTGCAGCCAGGTAAATCTCACCTGTAAGCCCTAATGCAGAGCCAGTTATATTCGCTAGTATTAAAAACAGTTCACAAAACCCCTGTTGGAATGGAAGTGTCAGGTATATAAAGGCAAGTACCCCAAAGGCACAGCATTTAGGAATCAGACCATACAGCGTCTGGGTCTCACTTTCTCCTGGTCACCCAGCAGACTGCCCAATAATGTGCAGTAATATACTTACTTCCTGGCTTCTCCTTTTTCCTTCTAATTGATGCTCGAAGCAGATCTGGCCCCTCTAAATCCTCCTGAAAACGTTTTGCCTTCACTTCATGAAACCATTCACCGGTCACAAACTTTTTCTTCTTTTCATCCTTGAGAGAGCCTTGTAACCGTCTAAAAAAAACCAAACAAACAAAAAGATGCTCTAAAACTATACTGCATTCACAAATATTTTACTAGTGCTGGGCAGAAGTCAAGTAAGAACCTTGACTCCAGCTGACTAATCTCATAGATTTTCTAAAGCCACACACAGTACTCGTCATACAAAATACCCTGCATGTGTAAGTCAGATATTGAGAAAAAGGATTTTTTTCTTTTAAAGTTAAAAATCCTATGTTAGGCTGGGTTTTACTTACATATTTCCAAAATCTAAACCTGCTTATAAACGATACTTTTCACCTATGTCGAAGGCTTGTTTACAAACCTTAACCACCATCCCCTGCAACCTTCCTATGAAGCAGAAATCTCTTCATCCACCACTGAATTATGATCAAGATAGACCACAGCAGCTGATTAAAAGTTAAGGACAAGAAGTGAAAAATGTGACATCCAATTGAAAACACCGGGCCACTTAATTGGACTGAATATAAATTACTTGAAAGGGAATTCAGGAGAGACAGTGGTTTTAAAAAAAACCCTCTTCTTTTACAAAATGCGCCCTGGGATCACGTGTAAATGCAAGGGGACAGGACCCTGGGCCTTACAACTCAACTACCTCCACCTTTGAATCACCAAAACTATTTTCTGCAACAAATACATAATCCTGGACAGTCTCCCAGTCAATTACAGACCCACCCTATTCCTGCTTAAATTGTGGATTAACGGAGATCAGAACCCAAGGGAATACAGCTGCAGGTACATCACATTTAGATGTTCTAACAATGTAGTCTTCTATGTTTCCTGTTGAAAAATTCCTCAGTCAGTATTTTACTCACTGGAACATATTGTAATCCACACTCTCCAATTTTATGGCTGTCTGACCCAGCCAACTGGTGACTATTTAATAGTGCCTGTCCATAACCAGTCAAGGCCAACACTTTTATCCCTCCCATCAGGAAATACATATTTACTGTACTAAAATTACAGGATAACTTATACTACAAAGGCAAGAAGTAAACAGCCCCATTGGATATTTATTATGAACCAGATGTTGCCATCCCTCGTCACAGTGACTAAGCCTTGACTTTTGGAGTTGTCCCAGTCATTTCAACGGGACTACCTTCTGAGTAAGGGGGGCCGAAACCAGCCCCATACAGGTGACAATTGTGGTCATTTTTGAAACACAATCCAAAAGTTTTTTCAAACTATTAAATCTGGTAGTCTCTTTAATACTGGAAAGAGACAGAAAGACACACAGTAAATATACTATATATTTGAGAGTTTGTGTGTCTTCTGTCTGTCCGTCTATCTGTGAGTCTGTCAGTTCAAGAACTCCTTCTCAATGGTAAGAGTTAGGACTACCACACTTGCTATGCAACTTCTTCTTATCATAACAAAGCAAGGTTGGGGTTTGGTTGGGCTAGGAAAATGGGATGTGCCTGGAATGTGATCATTTCTCATAAAACACTAGGGCTAGCAGCACAGTTATATTGCAAAATCACCGTACAACAGTGGCCAGCTGACAATCCACAGCTAAGGGCCCCGTGCTAGTGCTGAATATGGTTGTCCTTCCCCTCCTATGCTGGCCCCCTGCTCCACAACCACAGTCCAGACTACTCCCTCCCCTGTCCTTGACCCCAACACCAGACACCAGGGTTATGGAGAGCCCAGGCAGGCAATGCAGCCTCTATCGGGCCTGGGGAGCAATTGCTGGGGCCTGGGGAGCAGCTGCTGGCTGGTCAGCGCAGCCCCTGCCACCGCAGGTGGCCCCTCGGGAACCCCGTCACCAGCTGGGCACCACAGCCCCTCAGGATCTGCCGCTGGCTGGGCACTGTGGTGCTTTAGGGAACTGTCACCAGCTGGCCAGCACAACCCCAGGGAGCCACCATTGGCTGGGAGCTGTGGCCCATCACCACAAGTGTCTCCGGGGTGCCACTGCTGGCCAGTCAGTGTGGCCACAAACAGCCCCCTCCATTCCTCCCAACCCCCTGCCCTGACTCCAGCACCCCCCACTCCCTGCCCTGATTCCTGCATTCCCATACCCTGTTCTCAACCCCCATACACCTCCCAACCACCTGCCCTGAGTCCCCCAAACACCCAAACTACTGTCCTGACTCCTGCACCTCCCACCCCCTAACCTGAGTGCACACCCCCTCCCCAAGGCCCAGAGCAATGCTGGGTAAATCCTCTAGTACCTTTATAAATAAAAATACCGGACTAAAAATGTGTTACTTGTGTCTTGCTTTCACTGAAGCCTGCATAACAACCCTCAAAGACTAAAACTCAGTGTGGTTTACAAACAAAGTCAAAGCATGGTGCTCACAATATGAACAATGACAGTTTATGAATGAGATTCAAGATGCTATTAAACAAACCTGAAAGGCTGAAGGTGCCTGCTCGGAGGTCCCAGGGTCATGACCCTGCAGGGGAATGCTGTTAAATTTGCACCAACTCTCTGAACCAGAAGGGATGGGTTATAAAGACTTAAACAAGAGGGAGAACTCTGAGGTCTCTTTCTGTCAGTTGAAGCTTCTCTCTGGGTATGTCTACACTGCAAGCTTCTTTTGGAATAAGCTTTTCCGGAAGATATCTTATTTCGGAATAGACTGTCTACACTACAGAGAAGCCTCAAAATCAGTCCGAGGCAGGCCCCCCTAATGCGGACGCGCAATCTCGACTTTGAGACCCAGGAGGCACTGGGAAAGAATAACTTTAGAATGGCCCTGGGGAGGAGCTATTTCGACACCCTCTTCTGAAAAAGCCTTTTTGGAAAAGGGCTTATTCCTTGTGGAACGAGGTTTACCGCTGTCGGAAAACCCCTCTGTTATTTCGACTTTCTGTCAAAATAATGCAGTTCCAGTGTGGATGCTAGTATTGTTTTTCTGGAATAACGGCCATTATTACGGAATAACGGCGCAGTGTAGACACATCCTCTCTTTATCCAAGGAGAGGTAGAGGGAAGGGGCTGTGGGGGAGGGGCTTCCCTCCCACTTCTGCATAGGATTCCCCCCCCACACCTTCCCGAGTCCCGCATGCCTCCTTACTTAACTGTTAAGGAGGCATTGCTGGCAGCATGTGGCTCTGCCTGCCAGACACTTGCTGCCTGGTGCAGCCAGCCTATTCAGAGAAAGGGGCGGAGGGGGAAGAAGGAAGAAGCTGGCCTCGATGTGGCCTCCCCTTTCTCCTGAAAGGTGCCCCATGCAGGGAAGAGGCTTGGGGGGAGCTTTCCTTCCCTCCCATTCCAGGGACAGATTCCCCTCTTCCCGCCCTCCCAGTCCCGCATGTCTCCTCACCCGAAAAAGGAGTTTTGCTGGCTGGGAAGCAGCTCCGGCCTCTTTTTCACTGCTGCCTGCCCCCCCCATGCGGGACTCGGGAGAAGGGGGGCAAGCACAGAAACACCAGAGCTTCTGTTTACTCAGGAGCTCCAGCACGTGGAACGTCTCCCTCTGGCCAGGTCTCTTGCGCAGGCTTCTCCTACGTGCAGGAGAGGAACTGAAGGTGTCCAGCCGCTGCAAGGGAGGCTGGGTGAAGTTTTAAAAGTGGCCCCCCAGAACCCTCCACACCATTTCACGATTTAATCCAAGGGCTGGATTAAATTGTTTGGCAGGACACATCCAGCCTGGAGGCCAGAGGTTCCCCACCCCAAAAACTTTACAGGACCACAAGAAACTTGGCCACACCCACAATAAGTGGATATCTGGCTAACTAAAATCATGCCAGACCACAGAATTTACCAGACCAGAAAGTGCCAGACTAGAGAGGTTCAACCTGTATTTGTCCCAGGAAGGGGCAGTCACCATGAATATTTGAGCTCTCTTGGTAAACGAGTGTTGGGTGCAAAGACTTTTCCTCTGAGCGGCACAGAGATGAGAGCTGTATGAAGAGCAATTCTGCAATTTACCAAAGGGCTGTTTGAGGAATTGATTGGCTCAACCAAGCACTCTCTCAATTATCAAATATTCCATGGTATGAACAGAATGAATTGCTAGAGACTGACTGAGCACTCGCCATGGGGCTGCTACGCTTTCCAATCACAGTGAACATCCCATGACTGAACATACTTTTGCAGAACAGCCAGTCACATCCCTCTCGAGAACATATTGGTCTAGAAGGTGGAAACCACTCAGAACATGAAACTGAAGAAAGCAGTTGACAAACCTCAGCTTTTCAGAGCTGCAAATAAAATTAAGGAAAACCATGTGGCTATTTCCCCTCCTCAAGTAAGAAAATTGCTACATGGTACTTCCCCCATGGACTATTTCCGTTCTTTCCCCACTCACATGCGAATATAGATGATCGTGAACAAGAAGAGAGTGAACTCTTTTACGAGATCAAAGAACTGGGATCTATTTTAAGCTCTGCCCAAGTAAATCCTTCAGGAACTCGTGCAAACTTCCTCAACTCTGAGCTTCAGTTCCTATCTTAAACATGGCCTAGAAATATTTTCCTCATGGAGCCACTGCAAGGCTAAATCCAGGAGTTTCTGACTCAGACTGAGGGCCCTATAAAAATCCTATGTATGGCAACAAACCTGTGGCCAACCAAGAGCTGTAGGTGTATCACAATGTGGCGGTACATTAGAAAATGAAGATAAAACCTTTATCCTCTTGCTCTGGCACTTAAGAGATAAGGAGACTCCTTTATCTCAACAGGATACTGCCTGTGACACTCAGCTGAGCTTTTGCCATCCCATTCACTAGCAAGCTTTGAGGGATATGCCTAGCCAGATCATTACAGTATCATTAATGCATTAAGTAGCTGAATCATGATCATGCAGCAGGAGTTTGTGCATCATGGAAACCATTCCCTGGCAGATGAAAGCAGCAAGATCATAAAAGGCACTCCTACTTGGACAATATCAACGAATGGCAAACAAAGATCACAGCAGCTGTGTCTTTCCTGATGCTATTTTTATAACTGCCAGCCCACAGAGTGGGCAATTTACCTGCCTGCTGCTACAAAGATTAGGGTCAGAACTACAAGAAAATTAAAAGGTGGCTTCCTGCATTAACTGG